TTGATAAATGGAGAAAAGATTGAAGTTGTCAAGGATTTCATTTCTCTTGGATCCACAATCAAGGTCCATGGAAGCCACAGTCAAGAAATCAAGTGACGCATTCCATTGGGCAAATCTGCTGCAAAAGACCTCTTTAAAGTGTTAAAAAGCAAAGATGTCACTTTAAGGACTAAGGTGTGCCTCACCCAAGCAATGGTGTTTTTAATCACCTCATATGCATTCAAAAGCTGAACAATGAATAAGGATGACCAAAGAATTGATGCCTTTGAATTGTGGTGTTGGTGAAGAATAATGAATATACCTTGGACTGCCAGAAGAAGGAACAAATCTGTCTTGGAAGAAGTACAGCCAGAATCCTTAGAGGCAAAGATGGCGAGACTTCGTCTCACATACTTTGGACGTGTTATCAGGAGGGACCAGTCCCTGGAGAAGAATATCATGCCTGGTAAATTAGAGGGTCAGAGAAAAAGAGGAATACCCTCAACGAGATGGATTGACACAGTAGCTGCAACAATGGGCTCAAACATAGCAACAATTGTGAGGATGGTACAAGACAGGGCAGTGTTTCGTTCTGCTGTACATAGGGTCACTATGAGTCGGATCTGACTCAATGGCACCTAACAACAACAACAACAGGGTGTAAACAACTGGCCCAGTCTAGTAGCCTTCAGGCTCCCTCAGGTTCCCCATCCTGACCTCCCCAAGGGTTCCAGGCAGAGAGCTAGAGGGGAGTGGGTCAGTTGGGTGTCTTCCCTTACCTTCAAACCTGGTCAAGCTTGACCTCTGTGGTGGTAGGAGCCACGAGGTGGGAGCGGAGTCCCCCAACAAGAATCCAGGCCTCATCCTAGTCTCCCTGGGGGGTTTCTAGGCCTGAGAACAAAGCCCTGGCAGGGACCAGGCAGTGGCAGCAAAGGAAAGGGAAGCAATGGGCCAAGTAGAGGTGCTCCTGTCCCCAGGACTGATGTGGGCAGTCCCAGTGCTTTTGGGATCCATCCAGGCTTCCTCACAGCCCCAGGTCTCAGCACAACCTCACCAAGGGCCCAGGACTGAGCACCAGGCCTGGGAAGAGGGTCCAATTCATCAAGAGGCCACGCTTGATTTCAGAGGGGGCATGTGTCATCTAGCCATTGGGGCCAGAAAGGTTAGTCGGGCTTGGCTGGTGTGGTCGGCAGCATAATGCCCCCCAAAGAAGTCCACATCCTAATCCCTGGAACCTGTGAATATGTTACCTTACATGGCAAAGGGGAATTAAGGTTGCAGATGGAATTAAAGTTGCTAATCAGTTAACCTCGAGGTGGGGCGATTCGCCTGGATTATCCAGGTGGGCCCAATGTAATCACAAGTGTTCTTAAAAGCAGACGAGGGAGGCAGAAGAGTCAGGTCTGAAAATGCTTCCTGTCTGGTTGAAGATGGAGGAAGGGGCCACACGCCAAGGAATGCAGGCAGCCTCTAGAAGCTGGAAAAGACAAGGGAATGGATTCTATTCTCCCTTAGCGCATCCAGAAGGATGCAGACCTGCTGACACCTTGATTTTAGCCCAGGGAGACCTGTGTCAGGCTTAAGTTCAGAACTGTAAGATAAAGTTGTGTTGTTTAAAGCCCCTTGGTTTGTGGTAATTTGTTACAGCAGCAACAGGAAGCTCATACACTGCCTCTATCCTTTGCTGTGTGGACAGGTGAATGCTATTTCCACAGGCCCAAATAAGGACTTATTTTACTTCCCCTCTGCATAGGAGTAGAAGTCTCTGGATGGTGCAAACAATTAACATACTCGGCTGCTAACCAAAAGGTTGGTGGTTCGAGCCCACCCAGACATGCCTCAGAAGAAAGGCCTGGTGATCTACTTCCAGAAAATCAGCCACTGAATACCCTACGGATCACACTTCTACTCTGACACATAGGGGTTGCCATGAGTAGGGGTTGACGCGATGGCAACTGTTTTTTACTGCATGGGAGTAGGTTCCTGGGGCAGCACAATGTCCCACACCAACCTGGAGCACAAGAGGCAAACTTGGGAGGGAAGTTTCCAGGGCTTCCTGCCTGCAGGCTGGGTCCAGCCAGAGCCTGTAGCCAGTCTGAGGTCTCTGAGGGTGAGAGTTTAGAAACTCATCTCAGTTCTCCCATTTTGGGACACCTGCCTTCTAGAGAGCCACATTCCCACCTCAAACCTTTTCAAAACATATATTTCTCAGGATCCTCACTTGTCTCAGCTTCCCTTGGGGGTGGGCTTATTTTGTCAAAATCTGGGCATGTTAATGACTCTTGAAAACATCATGCTAAGGGAAATAAGTCAGTTATAAGAGGACAAATATTGTATGATCCCACTTATATGAAATACCTACAATAGGCAAATGTATAGAGAGCAGAGTTTATTAGTAGTTACCAGAGGTAGGAAGGAGCCCTGGTGACACAATGGTTAAAGCACTCAGCCGCTAACCAGAAGATCAGTGAGTCGAACCCACCTAGAGGCTCCACGGGAGAAAAGACCTGTCGATCTGCTTCTGGAAAGATTACAGCCTAGGAAACCCTATAGGGCAGTTCTACTCTATCATACAGGGTTGCTATGAGTCAGAATCGACTTAATGGCATTCAACACAACAGCCAGAGGTGGGAGGGAAGGAAGGGGAAAGAAGGAGTCATTGCTGAGGGCACTGAGCTTCTGTTACGAGTGATGGAAAAATTTGGAAACGGTTGTAGTCATGGTTGCACAACATGATGAACGTAACTAATGTCACTGAATTGTACATGTAAAAAATGTTGAAATGACAAATGTTTTGTTACATATATATACATATATAATAAAACCCAAAAAAACCCATTGCCATCGAGTTGGTTCCAACTCATAGCAACCCTATAGGATAGAGTAGAACTGCCACATAGGGTTTCCAAGGAGCAGCTGGTGGGTTTGAACTGCCAGCCTTTATGGTTAGCAGCCAATCGCTTAACCACTGTGCCACCAAGGCTCCATATATATATTTCAAAAAAAATGAAACTAATTGCCATCGAATCAATTCCAACTCATGACGACCCCATGTGTTACAGAGTAGAACTACTCCATAGGGTTTTCTTGGCTATAATCCTTACGGAAGCAGATTGACAGGTTTTTCTTTCTTGGCACCACTGGGTAGGTTCAAATCACCAATCTTTAGGTGAGTAGTAAAGTGCAAACAATTTGTGACATCCAGGGACTATTATTTAATATACTTATATGTATATATCTAACATACCACAATTAAAAAACTAATTGACAAAATAAAGGAAAGAAAGAAAAATCTAGGCATGTTAGAAACATTAGGAATAAATTCCAGAGAACCCAAGTAAGCCTCAAAGAGGAAGGGGCTTTGGGAAAAGCTATCCATCTTCTCTAACCCCCTGGACCAACTTGAGTTGTTTGTGTTTGCACCTCTGAAGAGAATAAGTAGATGGGAGGAGGCTTGGCTGATGGAGTGATTACCTGGTGCTCAGCAGCGGGGCCGCCTAGGCTTTTATGGGGCGCCTGTGGTCTCTCTGTGGGCAGGAAGGAGGATGCGGCTAAGGGCCTGCAGCAGGTTTCCACACGCTTCACAGACTGTGGCTTCCCCATTGCCACACCCCCCAGTGCAACCTCCTGGCCCCTGCCTGCCCTGCTAACTTAGTTCTGGCAGCCGGGCATTCTACCCCTGGGCTTACTTCAATCAGTGCAACTGTCCATGGCAGCCCTAACTTGTCCTGTGGCCAGGATGGGACAAACCCACAGCCATATGCAAATTTGGGCTTGTGCAGTGGACCTTTCAGCCCCAAATTCCTGGGGGGCAGGCCAGCCAATGCTTCAGCTGCAGGAAGCTCCTCTCTCTTTGCTGTCTTGTTCAAACCCCAAGAAGGGCCAAAATTAGATCCAAACCATTTGTTTCTGTTGATTTATTAGCCAGTGATGGAAACACAGCTGGACCCATACAGAACACATACGTAACTGACACGCTTCTGGAGAAAACCAACTCACTCCCCACTCCCGCACTTGCTGCTCTCGGGGAGGTTCACACTCCCAGAGTTGTGGCTGACTCAGTGGATGTGACCCCTCTAGACTCCCTCCCCTGCAGCACAACAGCATATGGAAATATTGACCAGAGGTTAACAGAAAGTCTAGATCAATTCAGTCAGGGATCCCCCTCCTGCAAAGAGAGGTCCCAGGGCCAGTGGAGCATCTTTCTCCAGAAGGCAGGATCACCAAGGTATTCCTATAAATGATGGACATTTTTCACCCTTGCACCCATAGTCTTCCCAATCTCCAGGAATTCCCCATATACTTTCACTTCGAGAAATTCCAGGTTTTTGGACAAAGCCAGATTTCTGAATGTCAGATGATGGGACATCTATCATTCCTTGGACACACATCTGAGAAGCACCCACTATGTGGAAGCTGGGTGCTGGCTGGGGAATGGATTTCAACATCTGGTCAGGAGCTTGGGAGTTGAAAGGATGGTCCCACCTTGACCAAAACAGGCCCAACTCCTTCCCTAGAGTTGAAGCTTTGGGAAGAATCTCTCCTGTTCTGTGTGGAATAATATAGCTTTAGGACTCTGCCCCTGCAGAGCAGGAAGCAATCAGACCAAAGCAGAATCCTGGGTTCTTCCTCCTTTAGGACGCATGGGCCTAGATGGCAGATGAGATGCATGGATGTTTCTGGACCCCAAAGTGAATTTGCCCCCAAATGGAGGATTTGGAGACGAAGAAAGGGAAGTTTAGGGGAGTCCTCATGGGTCATGTTGATCCAGATGAGAAGCCACAAGAAATAAGGTCCTTCTTCTTGAGAGGTCAAGAGAACTCAAGTCTGAGAACCAAATGGGTTTCAGGGGAGGCATGGAAAGTTTTAGGGAAAAGACTTCTGAGAGGGATGGGTCACCCTCAGCATTCCATCTGGAACCTCAGGGTCTCTTGATGCTTTTGTTCAGGGGCCTGTCTCAGTCTCCATCACCTGGACCAATGCCCCACCGCAAGGGGAGAGGCTGCTGGAAGGGGCCAGGCTCAGGGCACCATGTTCCACCACTTGAAGGGGAAGGGCTGCCGGCGCACATTGGTGCCACAGTGCACCTCCCCATGCAGCATGTGGTATGGGGTGAAGTCGTCAATGAAAGTGCAGTGCAGGCCCAGTGGCTCCAGCAGGGACCGCACCTTCTCCTCCAGGCAGCAACGGCCATTGATGATGGGCCCAAAGGGCTTGGGGATGCCCAGGTATTTCCCCAGCACCAGCATGTTCACCTGCAATCCGGGGTGAGGGTGGGGGTGGGGAGGCAATAATTTGTCATCAGGTTCCCACCTCCAACACCCTCACTCTACCTGGCAGGACCTAGAGCTCTAGGCCTGTCTTTGGGAAGCCTGGAAAATAGCTAATGGCCCTTTCATGTGGAGTGGGAAGGGAACTTGGGCTAGTAAGATCTCTTTAGCCACTATGAATGCCTTTGGGAGCATCTACAGAGCTCACAGTGACAACTTATCTCTCTGATAACTGCTCTCCTTGTTGGTGGGTTGTGGCAGCTCTCATGTTTATGCTTCAGAAGCCCAACTCCTACGCTATAGCTGATTAAACCTGGATATAAATTTGACCCACGCTGGACCTATCAGATTCTCTCTCCCAGGTGTTTGTAGTTGACGTTATGGGAGAGTCTAGTCCGTCTCTGCCTGTGTCTGCATCTATAATGGGTGGTCATATTCATATTCTTCTCCAGGGACAGAGAAGCAATGGAAGTCAAGCTGGAGAGAGAGAGAGGGAGAGAGAAAGACAGACAGACAGAAATCTCTGCCCGTAGGTTTCACAGCATCCTTATACCCTAATATCGTGTCTCCCTCTCTGGCAAAGCAAGCTTGAGTGGCCCTCTGTTCCTTGAAAACACGAGATCCTGGACCAGTGCACATCTTCTAGGGGCACAGTTGCATAATTACAAGGCACAATTGCAAGGCTGCCTTAAACAGGAAGGAAGGAAAAGCAGTGATGAAAGGCTTTGTTGCAATTGGGGAAATCAAGGGGGACCAAAAGTTAGCCAGAAAGGAAAGGGAAAGAGGGGGGATGAAGCAATGGAGGTGTGGACAGGCTCCCCGCAAGGCTCTGAAGATGGGCGAGTTGCATTCTTCGGAGGATGGAGGTGGGGAGGGGAGCCTGGTGATCTAGAGCAGCGTGGCGCAAAGTGTGGTCCTCAGATGAACATCAGGGTCACCCAGGTGCTTGTTACAAAGCCAGCAGCATCTCAGGCCCTATCCCAGACCTGCTGACCTAGAACCCTGGGGTGAAGTCCCCAGCTGTACAGGTGATTGGGATGCCTGCTCAAGTTTTAGAAGCACCAGGGGCAAAACCTACAAGGCTCACTCAACTCAAGGACACTTCTTCCATGATGCCTTTTCGGATCTCCAGTCCCGTCTCTTAAGCTAGAAGTGCTTTGTCCTGCCTCTGAAGTTTTATATCACTTTATCACAGTGTCAGATTACCCAATAAGCACAGTAAGCACGGGCTTACTTGTGCTTACTTACTAATCTATAGTGAACAATTTCACATTTTTTCACCACATCAAAGATTCTGCTCCTAGGTATGGCTGGCATTTGTCTCTCTCCCAATCCCACAGCACCTTCCTACAGAATCAAAGCCTCTTTTCAAATGTACAATCCCTGACAGGGACGAGTACCCAGTAAACAAGGTAAGCACGAGCTTACTTGTGCTTATGTACTAATCTGTAGTGAATAGTTTCACATGAAACTTACCTTGCTTATTGGGTAATCTGTCCCTGCTTTACCATACTAAATAAAATACTAGGACAGGCCCTCACTGAGGTGAAGAGAGTTTCCCCTTACCAGATTAGACTGGAAGCCCTTTGAGAGCAGGGACAAGTCTTAATCATCTCTGTCCCCCACAGACACCCTCGGTAAGTGTGAAATGGATGAGCAGCCATGATTCAGGAGAAACAGAGCAGGATGGGCGTCAGAGCTCCCAGTTCATGCTGTGTGATTTACACACGACCTCACGCAATCATTCGTTTACTCCACAAACACCACATGGGTCCCTGGGAGGAGAGAAGGGCCCTTCCCTGATGGCATTTGATCAAGGTCATGGCCAATGAGTATTCTGCAGTGACCATAATTGGACCTGATTCTCCCTGCCACTCTACCTGTAGCCACAATCTCAGACATGCGTGAGACCAGACGTCTCGCCCCTCTGGGGAGTGGAGGGATGGAGCCCGACATTAAGTCCTGGATGGCAGAGTACTGGTGGGCACCTCCCCCACCCCCGCCTCACCAAGTCTGGGAAGAAGGCCACCGCCTTTCTCCTCTCTGTCTTGAAGAGCTGGGGGATGTCGATGATGTCGCAGTCGGCCAGGCCCAGCTCCCGCTTCAGCACTTCACGATTCCAGTCGATGCAGCTCTGGGGGCAGGGGGGAGAGGCAGAGTTGGGGGACACCCGGTCAGCGTGTTGAGGGGACCCAAAGGCTCAAGTCTGGCTGAGAAGAAAGGAATGTTCAAGTGCCCGTGGATCAAGTATCCAAGCAAACCTTATCTTTGTGCCTGTCATTAAAATCTAGCTGTTCTGTGTCCCATCCCCTCCATCCTCTCTTTCCAGTTTGGTTAAAAATTAGAGCGGTCCAGGGTTCCATCCTTGACCCTCTGCCCTTCTCTAGATTCCTCACTCCTTAGGGGGTCTCATATGAAAGGCTTTAAGTCGAAAGGCTTAAAATGTCTTCTACTCACTGACCACTCACAAATTTGTATCTCTGGCCCAGCCTCCTTCCTGAGCTCCAGACCTGTAACTATGACCACTGACTTTGCCTCTTTACTTGGACGTCTAATGGGCACATCAAACAAAAAGTGTCCAAAGAAAAATCTCTTATTAAACTCTTCTCCAGTTACCCAGATTGAAGTGCCATCTTTTTCCTGCTGGGACCTACTGCCACCGCACCCTTCCTCCCACCCAATGATGTATTCCCAACACAGCAAGCAGAGGGGCAGTTTTCAATCATTAAGTAGAGGCAGGACCCTCCTCAGAACCCTCCAATGGCCTGGCATCTCACAGCCGAAGTCCTGGCAATGGCTCTCAAGGCTTCATCTGTCTTGGTCTCCCCTCACTCCACTTCAGCCTTCTGGCTTGTCCTCAAACACTCCCGGCCTGTGTGTTCCACTCCAGGCCTCAGGGCCATCACCTATGCTGTTCCTTCTACCTGGAATGCTTGTCCTCCTCACACACACATGATTCCCCCTCTCTGGGCCTGTACCAGCCCAAGCTTCCATGAACCTGTGAGCCTCAGACTTCTGCCCCCCACTCCGTCCCCAGCCATGCCCACAAACCACTGAGTTTATACCTGCACAAACTTATTGTAGCTGATGAGGTTTCCATTGGAGAGGACCTGGTTGATTGACATGGTCTTGACACGCCCATTGCCTATGAAGGGGAGAGACATAAGGGAGGGACAGGAACTAAGCCAACAGTGAGGGCCACCTGCTCTGGGAAGCAGGCAGGCCAAGGTCAAGTTAGCAGCAACTGCTTGGCCAAGTTAGGAGTTATCCTTTTCTGGGTGTTGAGGGCACTGCCCAACACAGAGCTTGGCTTGGCCGCTGTGCAAGTCTGGGGGTGTTTGAGGAGTGGGAGAGTCAGGTTGCCACAGTGCTATGAACTTTAGACCTTTACTTGAGTTCACTGGAAATTTATAAGCACCCCAGGGCATTGGGTGATGGGGATTCCTGGTCCTCTGGCTAGTGGGGGAGCTGGGTCAGTTGCTGCCTGCCCACCAGTGCCAGCCCTAGATACCCAGTCTGGGAGCTGGACACCATTGGGCCCTATCCCTAACATCCAGGAGATGAATGCATGGCAGAGGGGCTCCCCAGAGGCCCAGCTTCCCTAGTCTGCCTGATGGGGTACCCATGGAGACAGGGCTGGACAAGAAAGGAGAGGCTAGAGCCGACAGCTCATAATCCTCAAGGCTACCATTTGTAAACACTCACTGTGCGCAGGCCCTGAGCGAAGAGCTCGACAGTCAGCATCTCCTTTAACCTCACTGTCACCTCACAAGGCGCACATTATTGCCCTTGCTCTATGATGAGGAAGGAGGCAGTGGTGGCTCAGTGGTAGAATTCTCAGCTTCCATGCGGGAGACCTGGGTTTGATTCCCAGCCAATGCACCTCATGCGCAGCCACCACCCGTCTGTCAGGGGAGGCTTGTGTGTGGCTATGATGCTGAACAGGTTTCAGCAGAGCTTCTGGACTAGGACTAGGAAGAAAGGCCTGGCAATCTACTTTCAAAAATCAGCCATTGAAAATCCTATCGCTCACAACAGTCCCATATGACACCAATCATGGGGATGGCACAGGCTGGGCCGTGTTTTGTTCCGCCCTTTGTGCATGGGGCCATCATGAGTCAGGGGCTGACTCAACAGCAGCTCACAACAACAGGTGAGAAAATTGAGGCTCAGAGAGGTAAAATGACTTGCCCAAGGTCATACAGCTAGGAAATGGGGCTCTTGTCATTCAAACTGAAGTCCCGGGCTAAACAAAGGGCCCCAAGTCAAGACCAAGAGAAAGGACAGGGCTCCCCCAATTCATTCACGCACCTGAGGGCCCTGCATCCCCCTCCACCCCACTTGGAGTCATACTTAGGGTTGGGTCTCAGCTCCATGACCTTCTTGCTAAGGCCTCTGGGCCAGCAACTTCCCCACTCTGAGCCTTGCATTCTCAGGGTGCATAAAGGGGGGTGATAGCAATGGCTCCCTCACAGGCTCTGTGAAGATCACATGAGATAATGTCCATGAGGAACAGAGCATGGGGTCTGGCCTAATCAGGTGCACTGGCCCCACGGCTGCATGAGGCCATGGTCACTGCCCTGATGGGGTGTCAGGGTATTGCAACCTCCATGCTGGGATGTGCTAGGTCCTTGGATCAGGGGTTAGCAAGAGGCTCACCCCTACCAAATTGCCCACGGAATGCATCAAGGCACTGCCAGCCCAGGGCAGGGATGATTGCTGCCACGCCCCACCCTGAGATGCTGCTGAGGGGCGGTGTGCCTAACCCCAGCCCTCCCCAAACCCAGGCTCCTGCTGTGGGTGGCCTGAGGCTGTGGTTGCTGGGCGGGGCCAGGGAGAGAAAAGCCTGGCGGGGCCTCAAGCTCCAGGTGCCGGGGAGTGGGCATCCCAGCGAGGCAGGGAGGTGGCAGGAGGTGGACTCTTCAAGAACTGACTCCAGGCCCCCAAGAGATACTTTACTGCTCTATCGGACTTCACTTACATATCACGAAATCCAAATTATTAAAAATTTCACAGAGCATTATACCTCAAATGCGAGGCCCTTCTAAGTGTCCTGAGTGAGTTGCACTGGTCACATGCCCGTGGAGCCGGCCTTACCCTACCCCAAGCCCACCGCCCTGCCTGTGCTTCCTGCCTGAGATCTGCAGGCTTCCCAGGGACCATTGTGGTTAGGAAAGGGGGCCAAGCTGACGCAAGGAGTGCAGTGGCAGGAGTGGGGGAACCCACATTTGGGACGACAGCCTGGCTTTAACATTTGCCATCCGTTTTTCAAGTCACGACTTGTCTTGAGTTAGGTGAGAGGCTGTGATGGGGGTAGGCACTGTTACCCACCGACAACACCTTCGAACAGGAGGGCCCTGCCATGCCCCCACTTCTGCTTTTCCTGGAAGAGTTTGAAACAGGCGCTAGGGCTGGCCAGCAGCAGCCGGAAGCCCTGTGTGGAGAGAACAGACCAGATGAGTCAGTCCCCTAACTCGCATGGCCCCCTAGGGCTCAGCCCGGCTCTGTCAAACCCAGATGCTGGTCTGGGCAGGTCGCCCACGTCCTTACCTTCCCATCAGGGGCAGGGACGAAGCTCAGAAACTCATCCACGTGGCCCACGGCCAACCAGTCCACAAAGAGCTCCACTGGGGGTTGCACTCTCTGGGCGTAGAGGAAGTTCCGCACCACCTGGGTGACCCTGCGGCCTCTCGACCTGGGGTCCATGGGGTTAAAAAAAAAAAAAAAAGTCAGGTAACGTAAAAGCCTATGCAGAAATTGAATGGCGAGGACTTAAGGTGTTTGCACTACCTGATTTTTTAATACAAAAACATGCATTAAAACATAAACAAATGAAATTACATATATATATGTCACAGCCTTGAAAACCCTGTGGAGCACAGTTCCACTCTGCACACATTAGGTCACCATGAGTCAGAATCTCCTCCATGGCACCTAACAACTATATATGTATATAATTCCACCCAGGTGAGTTCTCAGGGAGGCGGACGCAGGACAGGTCGATCATGCCAAGGCAATGACCCACTGAGTCCCACCAGACAGATGAATTCTCAGAACCATCCTCACCTTTTCCAGGAGACTGATTTCACTCCCACGTTCAATCACCTGAGGCTGGGCAGTTCTTCCTTGAGTTTAGTTTATATCCCTCTTGCTGCAGCCTCACCTCTTCGGATATCAGTGGGGAGAGATATGTGCAAGATCACCCCAGAGGGGCCCCACAGCCTCAGCATGTTATGTCCTTGAATTTAAACTCCCTTCCTCGCCTACCTTCTGGAAAAGTATCTAATAGCATGGCCTACATTTCCTCTTTCTGTGGGATTATGCGCTCTATGTCAGTTAAGCCCCTCCAAAGCTTGACTCTTGACTCATCTGCTATTTGATCCTAAATCTGTTCCTAACAGCTTGTTTGAATTTGGTTGGCACTGTATCTTGGTCAATTCCACACCAAATAACTTAACGATATAATTCCCTTTCTTTTCCACCTGTGCCCCTGTGTCACATGTTGAATAACACATAATTCATTACTCTTTCTGTGTGTTACTTTTTAGGTACTTTCACTGTACTTTTTATACCTTATACCTCCCTTCTCCTGCTCTCAGGAAACGATCTGATATTAGTTATTTACATTGTAGTATGAACAAGTTTTGACTTAAATGTCATCTCTCCCAGGGCTGTTGAGACTTGCAGCAATGATTACTAATCGATGGACTTTGTTATTAGCAACATCTATTTATTTTCAGAACCAGGATCCCTGAGTCTAGACATAACTCTACTGTGTGACTTTCACCAGCTCACTCCTCCTCTCTGGGCCCACTGTAAGATGAAGAGGTTGGACTGGATGATCTCTTATGTCTGTCACTCTAGGTTTCTCAGACTCCCTGAGGCAAGTGTGGACAGTGACTGGTAAATAGTTCCTCCCCTCGCACATCCAGGGGAGCGGTGCAATGGTCCCTCATCCCCAGCCTCCATCGCTGCCCCCACCCTCAGCCTCCACCCCAGGAGTGCTTCTCTCTCACCCAGGCAGGTTGCCCCCTATGAGGATCCTTCCCAAGGGGTACTCTTTTCCATTTGCCACCACTGGGGGGCTGACCTCCAGGTTCCCAAAAGAGTCCAGGCCACTCACAGACTTGTCTCGTGGCTCCCGAGTCACGTAGCCAAAATCTGGACCCTGGTGGGGAAAACTGAGTCAGGCTGAAGTTTGAATCAGGCAGAGCATGAACCAACTTGCTGGTTAAAGACAGGGTGGGGGTTGCCTATCCATTCTTCAGATGGGGAAACTGAGTCAAAGACAGGGATCTAGGCTAGTCAGTATTTTATGCATGCTCAGTGTTGGGAAGCGCTCAGACCCTGCTGCCTTATTAGGGACAGCGTTATCTCCAGGGTCACAGGGAGATGGCACAAGGGCTCTGGTTGGTCTTGCACTCCCTGTTAGACTTACAGCCCAAGGCCATGGCCTCACCAGCCTCGTGCCCTTACCCTCTGCACCACCTTTCTGCCAAGTCCAGCCCAAGGGCAGGTATCTGTCTGCTCTACATTGCCTGTCCCTGGGGCCAACAGGCTGGTGAGGCCCCTCCGAGCCTCAGTCTTCCAACTCTGGAAAAGAGAAGAACTCCCCAGGCCATCTCCTAGAAGGAACTTAGCCAACATCGAGGGCCAGGTAACGGTGTTGGTGTGCTCCCTCTGTGGCAGGCACTGTAATAAGTGCTTTACTATAGGTCATCTTAATAAAGCCTCACCAACACCTTGTGTTAAAATATCATTTTTACTGATGAGGAAACCGAGGCTCAGAGAGGGGAAGTGACTCATGCAAGGTCACAAAGCATGTGAGTGGCAGAGCCAGGTTGTCCCAACCTCAAAGCCCGTATTCTTAACAACTGCACTGTCCTGCCTCCCCCATCTAGGGCTGCCAGATTAGCAAATACAAATAAGGATGACCAGTTAATTCTGAATTTCAGATAAACAATAATATTTTTTAGTATAAGTATGTCCCATGCAATATTTGGGACATACTTATACTAAAAAGTTATTTGTTGCTTATTGAAATTCAGATTTAACTGATGTCCTATATTTTATCTGGCAAGCGTATCCCCATCCCCATCCCCAGTGCTGTCCCCTGTGTTCCACACCCTGGTGTGGCCCTCAGGGTAATGGCCTCTCAGCCCTCATGGCTGGGCAGTGACTGGGACCACTCACTAGAATTCGTTTGTAAGGGAAGTCCTGCAGTTCCCCATTCCTCGGGGAGTCAAAGACCACCGGGAAGGTCTTGTGTGGTGCCTGAACATAGCCCAGCTCCATCTCGTCCTGCGAATGGGGAGAGAGATGTCAGCTGTGAACAGTCAGCAGCTTCCCTCACTGGCTTACATTGGGCACTTTGGGGAAGACCATTCCCATGAGTTCTCTGTCTCAGGCCTGGCTCACCACGGTCACGATGCCTGCTGGGCAGAGCAGGGGCTAGAGGCCCAGAGAGAGGATGTACTGGCCTAAGGTCACCCAGTAAAACAGAGGCAGGCAGTGGACAAAAACATGGGGGTCTTTAGGGGTCATCTTGCACTGGGCCAGGGCAGGGTGGACACAGAGAGCTGCTTGGTGTCCTAACTTGGCCAAGCAGGCCAGCTGGTCATCGGCCGACATCTCTGGCCTCCACACAAGGTCCTCAGGGGTTGACGGCTAGACAGAGGTGAGAGGACATAAGGGGATGCAGATCTGCCTCCTTCTCAGACCAGTAGACACTCCCAGATCAGTGCTTGTCTCTCTGGTCCTGGAGGCCAAGATGGTCCAGCATTGCGGAACTACACATCCAACAAGAAGCTCACTTACTGTGTGCCTGGTCCAGCCCGAAGCACCGTTTTTTTTGTTTGTTTGTTTGTTTGTTTTTTGTTGTTGTTGTTGTTTTGTTTTTGGAGTATTTTAAAAAATAATTTATTTTAATTATTTTTGTTGTTGAGAATATACACAGCAGAACGCATACCAATCTGACAGTTTCTACCTGTACAGTTCAGTGACATTGATTACATTCTAGTTGTGCAACTGTTCTCACCCTCCTCTTCTGAGTTGTTCCTCCCCCATTAACGTGAACTCACTGCCCCCTAAGGTTCCCATCTAGTCTTTTGAGTTGCTGTTGTCAGTTTGATCCCATGTAGACAGATCTTAAAAGTGCACAATGCTCAAGGCAGACATTTTTTACTAGTTAAGCTAAACTATTGTTTGGTTTTAAGATGTTTAAAGATGCTCTTAGGGCAATCTGGCCCTAAGCTCTTTATAAATGGTAACTCCGTTAATCAGGTGACCCCCTATTCAGGAGGCACTATTCCAAGCCAAACTCATTGCCATCGAGTCGATTCCGACTCGTAGAGATCCTATAGGACATAGTAGAACTGCCCCATACGGTTTCCAAGACTAAATCTTTACCGAAGCAGACTGCTAACTACCCCGTATTACAGATGAGGAAAGTGAGGAGCAGAGAGGTCTAGTTACTTGTCCAAGGGTACACAGCTGGTCAGTGGATCCAAACCAGTCCGTCTAGCTCCGGAGTCCTGCCCTGAACCCCCCCACTGTACTAACTTCCAGCCAAAAGGAAAGCTCCATAGGGTTTTCGACAGCTGATTTTTGGGGAAGTAGATAGTCAGGCCTTTCTTCCAAAGCACTGCTCGGTGGATTTGAACCTCCAACCTTTGGGTTAGCAGCTGAGCATGTTAACCATTTGTACTACCCAGGGACTCCAGGGGTAATTATAGGGACTGCCAAATAAGGTTGTCAAGAAGATGAAATGAGAAATGACACATTCACGGTCTGCAGTAAGCCCTTGATAAATAGTAGAAATCATTATCAGTGCACCTGTAAAATCTGGCCTAGCTCGGAGGGCCTCCTCAAAACCCCAGACAGAGATGATGCCACCCTCCTCCAAGCTCGGCTGGGGCTCTGCCTGCACCCCGTTCCATCTTAGAGTGCAGGAATGGGAGTCTTGTGGCCAACATTCACCAGAGCAGGGCTTCTCGGCCTCAGCACAATTGTCATAGGGCCGTCGTGTGCACTGTAGGATGTTTAGCATCAACCGTGGTCTCTACTCACTAGATGCCAGTTGTACCACCACCCCAATATGACAACCAAAAACGTCCCCAGACATTGCCACATGTCCCCTGATGGGAGAAATTGCCTCCATTGCAAACCACTGGTCTAGGCTATTGAGGGCAGGGAGTGGGTGCCTGCACTTCTGCCCTCCCTTTTAGGCCCAGCCATGTGCCTAGTCTCGATCCAGTGGGTAAATGGGTGTTAAAGTCAGTGGCAGTGTGTGCCTTTATCTCCAGAAAGTTCTAGAGAGAGGGGGAGAGTTCTAGGTCTAGAAATAGAAATATCCTCCTGGGGAGGAAGATCACAGTCCAGGCCATCTTGGATATTTCCCAGCAGCCCCTGGTTATAGAGACATAGTGAGGGTGCAGGGCAGAGGGGGACACTTGCTCCCAGGCACAAGTCCAAGGGGGTGCCATATGAGGCAAGCAATGATGTTCTGAGGTGGCACAAATACGAAAGGCTCCTGACTGAGGCAGATGGACAAGAGAGGGAAGGCATTTCTGCTGACACATCGCTGCTATCAATGTCTATTCATCTTGAAATTGGCAGGGGTGGGGGGACACGCAACTTAGAGATTGCCCCTTGGCACTTGAACTGGGGGGAGGGGCACACTCGTTACCCTCGCTACACCCCTGCCTGGTTAGGGCAGGCCGGCCTCTCCCAACAGGGCAGTGTCCTAGCTGGCTCCTGCTCGGTGGCCATGGTTACCTGGATCCAGCGGTCATTGCGGTTCTCATCCTGCGGGCAGATGGTCAGCTTGCAACCGGCCTTCTCAGCCAGCTTCGCCACCGCGTCCACAAAACACGCGTTGTTCCTCACGCTGCTGACAAGCCCAGGGAGAGCAGCTCAGGACAGAGCAGGGTCTGGGGCCACAGGGGCCACCACAATCAGAGGACGCCCAGCACCCCTCAGACTCACCGGCACACATACACCTCCAGGGGCGGCAGGGTGCTGGGTGTCATGATCCAGGGCGCCACACGGAACACCACGGTGTCAGTGAAGATCGGGGTCTCGGAGAAATCCTGCAGGGGGGACAAGAGGGAGAAAGAGCACTGGACTTGGAGTCCAGAGGCCTGGGTGCAAGTTTCAATTCCACTACTGTCAGCCTTGAGCAGGTGCCTTACTCCTCTGAGTCTTAGTCCCTGGAGAGGAACCAGTGGGGTGCTCGAGAAATCTAGGGTCTTCAGCACCAGTGGTGACTATCTCCCAGGAATGGAGTCCCTTCCTGACCCTCCCCACCCAGCCACCCCGTACCTCATTGGAGTTGTCCAGCAGGGTGACATGGAAGGAGACGAGCCCAGAGAAGCCGGCGTCGGGGAAGGAGAGGCCTTCCACAAAGAAGCGCTCCTCGTCTCCGTGGAAGCGGGGCACCTCATATGACACCTTGTCCTGGCCTAGCACATGCAGGTAGGCCTCACACGAGTCCTCGGGACCTGGGGGTTGGGGGAGGGGACCAGCGACCATGATTCCTAGTGGGCCCAGGGAGCTCGAAGGACCCGGCAACAGACATAAGAGATGTGCAGCTTTATCAACCAGAGAAATGCAGGTCAGACAACTCTCGCCTTTCACCTCACACAGGCAAAGTCAAGAAGAATGGATAATACCCAGTGCAGGCAAGGCTGGGGGAGAGGGCATTCTCTTCTGAGACGGCCTTTCAAATCTTTTTTGGAGGGCAATTTGGTGGAATCCAACCCTGGATGAGGGTCAGCGGAAGAGAAGACCCTCCACAAGATGGATTGATACAGTGGCTACAACAGTGGGCTCAAGCATAACGATGATTGTGAGGATGGCGCAGGACTGGACAGTGATTCATTCTGTTGTATGTAGGGTTGCTATCAGTTGGAACCAGCTCGACTGCACCTAACAACAGCAACCTGGGTGGCACAAACAGTTAAGTACTCAGCTACTAGCCAAAAGGTTGGCGGTTCTAACCCAGCCAGAGGCACCTCAGAAGACAGGCCTGAGGATCTGCTTCCAAAAGATCACAGCCTTGAAAATCCTAGGGAACAGTTCTACTCTGCACGCATGGGGTCACCATAAGTCAAAATTGACTCAACAGCAACTAACAATAACAATAAAAACAACCAAGTAGTGTGTTTACCCCTAACCCAGCAATTCCACATCTAGGTACCTTTCCTGTAGAAATACATGTACAAGCTCACAAATTATCTGTACAAGGGGGTGTGAGGGTCGGCCATTCATTCCTTTAACAAATATTTATCGAGCACCTGCCTTGCATCTACCTCACTCAAGGCATGGCTCTGGACTTGGGGTACAGCATGAGCAAGGTCCCTGCCCACAGGGAACTTGTATTAAAATCAAAGCCCTGCAAACAGCCGTATGTTCCTGGAATGGATAAATTACAGTGCTTCTGTGCTTTGGAGTACCGTGCAGCTGTGGAAAAGAATAAAGCAGGTCTAAGTAAATACACAGAGTCCACCTTGAGCATTGTCCTCTTTTAAAGAACTATCTATATGGGATCAAAGTGACAACAGCAACTCAAAAGATTAAGTTGGAAATTTAGGAGGCAGTGCATTTATGTTAATGGGAGAGGAACGACTTGAAAAAAGCAGGGTGAGAATGGTTGCACAACTCAGAGAATATAATCAATGTCACTGAACTGCGCATGTAGAAATTGTTGAATTTGTGTATGTTCTGCTGTGTATATTCTCAACAACAACAATAAAATAAACTATTTTAAAAACAAATAAAATAAATACACAGAAAGATGTGTAGGATCTTTTATTCAATGAAAGAAACAGGTTGGAAAGCAGAATATGTATATATACACCTACACATACTCTTGCGCACACACACACACACACATTTGAGTGCACATGGAAAAAAAAAGTCCAGAAGAACACATACCAAATTGTTAACAGTACCACATTTGGAAAGTCAAGTTTAGGCGGCAAGCATAAAGGGCTCTCATTTTTTACTTTATATACTTATATATTGTTGTTCTTGTTAGGTGCCGTCGAGCTGCTTCCGACTCATAGCGACCCTATGTACAACAGAACAAAACACTGCCCGGTCCTGTGCCACCCTCATGATCATTGTTATGCTTGAGCCCACTGTTGCAGCCACTGTGTCAATCCAACTCATTGAGGGTCTTCCTCTTTTTCGCTGACCCTCTAATTTATCAAGTATGATGTCCTTCTCCAAGGACTAATCCCTCCTGATAACATGCCCAAAGTATGTGAGACGAAGTCTTGCCATCCTTGCTCCTAAGGACTGTTCTGACTGTACTTCTTCCAAGACAGATTTATTTGTTCTTTTGTCAGCCCATGGTATATTCAATATTCTTCACCAACACCATCACTCAGAGGCGTCAATTCTTCTTTGGTCTTCCTTATTCATTGTCCAGCTTTCACATGCATATGAGGCAATTGAAAACACCATGGCTTGCGTCAAGATATACTTCTATAAACCCATTGCCATTGAGTCGATTCCAACTCATAGCGACCCTATAGTGCTTTTTATATAAAAAAAGCCCTATACTTCTATAGTGCTTTTTAAACGTAATGGCTAACGTACACCTGACCCAAGCCATGGTTTTTTCAATCACCTCATATGCGTGCAAAAATTGGATAGTGAAAAAGAAAGACAGAAGAAGAATTGATGTGTTCCAACCATGGTGTTGGCGAAGAATATTGAATATACCATGGACTGCCGAATGAACGAACAAATCAGTCTTAGAAGAAATACAACCAGAATGTTCCTTAGAAGTGAGGATGGTGCAACTTCAAATCGCTTACTTTGGACACATCATCAGGAAAGACTGATCCCTAGAAAATGACATCATATTTGGCAAAGTAGACGGCCAATGAAAACGAGGGAAACCCTCAATGAGATGGATTGACACAATAGCTGTGACAATGGCCTCAAACATACCAGTGATCATGAAGATGGTACAGGACTGGACAACGTTTCGTTCTGTTATACATGAGTCAGAGCCAACTTGATGGCAACTAATAAGAACAACTTCTGTATTCTCTGATCCTTTAAAAATGAGCAGCGTATTACTTGTATACGTTTGTATTTTTTAAAGGTATTTTGTATCCTTACTTATATTGGTTATGATGATGGCACTGTGGCTATGTAAAGCATTTTTTCGAGGAATGAGCACTGAATTATGTAGGGGCAAAATCCATAATGTCTGGGATTGGCTTTAAAGGACTTCAGCAAAGGAGAAAGGATAGATGAATCCGGGTGATGGGCATAGGGAGTTTATTACACTATTCTCTCTACTTTTTGTGCATGTTTGAATTTTTTCATAATAAAAATTTCTAAAGGTGCCTGAAATAAAATTTAAAAATTCATTCATTCAATAAAACGACCTCGGGTCAGGCGCTACGCCCAGATACCAGCTGATCAGCCCAAAGTTCCCACGTCTGACCTTTCTTCCTCTGACCACCAAGGCATTTCCTGAGAGTCCTGGTGAAGCCTGCCCACCGGCCCCAGGCAGGGACCTGAGGGCCCCCAGCAGCAAAGAGGGTGAGCATGAACTCACCACAGACATGGAAGACGTGCACCCGCTGGGCATCATAGCTGGAGGTGTGAAGGACAAGTTTGTGGTCATCGAAGAGGGCAGCAGGGCCCTGGGTCCGCAGGACCATGATGGACATATCTTCCAGGTCTGTGAAGACAAACAGAAGGGTGGCAAGTCAGGGGGCCCTTGGTCCCGGCCACTGGTCCATCCAGTCTTCGACACCATCACCTCTTCCTCCTGCCCACCTTCCTCCCCAGGACAAGGTGTCCCAAGACCTGGGTCTTCCAGCCCCAACTCTGTCCACCCAAAGAAAACATATGAAATTATCAAGAGCAAATCATGAAGGCATATGTAAACGTGTAACAGGTTGAACTACTTCATGTCCCTCTGGGCCTCCATTTCCCCATCTGTCCAGAGAAACATGAAGAGTAGAACAGCCAGATGCTCAGGTGTCGTGCAGGTGAGGGTTCTGGCCTAAGTCCCAGCACTCACTCGCTGTGTGACGCTGAGCAATCCCTTCCCTCCACCCCCCAGGCCTCAGCTTGCCCACCTGTGAAACGGGGAACAGTAATGCCCACATTTGAAGGTGGCTATGAAAGTCGCAGGTACGGAGCACCTGGCACACACTACAGGCACTGTCAAATCATTCTCACGGGGCTGTTTACCAAGCCGCAGATGGACTTGGAAGAATGTGAAGCATCACCAAAACCCAGGCCAGGGGTGTGGGGGGAGGAGGTGGGATTTGGGGTCAGAAGAGGAAGGCCTGAGTCTGCCACAGACTGGCTATGTGACTTGACCTCTGAGCTTTAGCATCCTCATTTCTAAATTGGGGTGATGATACCAGTAACCCAGTTGCCATCAAGTCGACTCCCACTCATAGCGGCCCTATGTGTATCAGAGTAGAACTGTGCTCCATAGGATTTCTAATGGTGGATTTTTCAGAAGTAGGACACCAGGCCTTTCTTCTGAGGTGCCTCTGGGTGGACTTGAACCTCCAACCTTTTGGTTAGCAGCCGAGTACATTAACTTTTTGCACCACCCAGGGCCTCCAGGTTAATGAGATCCTCCTTTGTTACATATATCTTTGTACGCATTTTCATACGTGTGTCTTTGTCATAAGTCTTTGAGGCTTAAAGGAGAGTTTGGGGACAGGGCCTAGCACACAGTAGGTGCTTGAACAATGTTAGCATCCTCTGCTCCCCCAGGGTATGTGGGTGCCCACTGGCATTGGGGGTGTTGGGGAAGGGCAGTGCCTGTCTATGACGGGGCTTGAGGGACATTGAGGCATCCCTGGGGGTGGGACTCTGGCCCCCGGCTCTGCCTTCAGAGGCCCTGCCTTCGGAGGCCCTGCCTGGGGTTGGAGTTCCTGCAGGGTAACTGAGCAGAAACCTTGGACACCAACGGCCCGGGCTGCTCCAAACCCTCACCTTGTAGGCAGCGCACGTGTTGGTCACTGTTGTCCAACTTGCCACAGCTGGGATCGTCCCGGTCACAGTTCACCAGTAGGATAGCTCCATGCCCATTGGGCCCCCAGACCCACTGCTGCTGCAGATGGAAAAGCATAGCAGGTGATGGGGGCTCTGGCCAGAGCTGTACTTCCGCCTCCCCAGCAGCTCCTGGCCAGCCTCCTAATCTCATATCATCTCCTTTCATTAAAGCACCTCCTGCTCAAGAACTGGCAGTGGCTCCCTATTGCCTACACCATCAGGTCCAAACTATACAACTGTCTTTCATGGCTATCTATGATGTGTCTCCAGACAACATTCTCTCTCTCAATAGACGGCTTCCTGGTTATATGATCACACACCTCAAACCACATTCATTTCTCCATTCTTCCCTCCCTGCCTTTGCTCCTGCTGTTCCCTCCACCTGGAACGCCCTCCCTCCTGCATCCCTTTAGATCCCAGCTCACGTGCATTTCCTCCCAGGAGCTCTTCCTCACTCACCTAGTCCACCTTGACCTTTCTGTCCTCTGAGCACCCAATGCATGAAGTGCCACCACAACTCAGTCTGAAGTTCTTTAATGGCGTCATGCTTGCCAAAACCAAAAACCAAACCTTGCCATAGATTTCCCTTTTCACCTAGATCAGGAAGTCAGCTCACTATGGCCCATAGGCCAAATCTGGCCCACTGTTTGGTTTTGTAAATAAAGTTTTATTGGAACAGGCACATCCATTTGTTTATGTATTGTCTATGGCTGCTTTTGCACCACAATGGCAGAGCTGAGTAGTTGTGACAGAAACCATGGCTGGTAAAGCTTAAGATGTTTACTATCCAGAGGGGTAGCAAGGGGGTGCAGAGGGGGGGCGCTTGCCCTTGAGCTCCAAGTCCAAGGGGGTGCCGGTGGCATCACTAGGGGTATGCAGGGGGTGTGGACTGCACAAGGTGACACTCCCAGAGGGGGTGACACCACATGGTCCAGAGATACCAAACTATGCAGGACTCGAGCTGCTCCAGAAAGCCCGTGCCCACTTTAGCTATGTTTCGGCCCTCCTCTCTGCTGCTGTTGCTGTCGGTGTCTGCTGAGATGATTCACCCAACCTGAGGTGTGCCTCTGGCACCTCTGCTGTCGTTGCAGCCTGGGTGCCCCCAGAGCTGCCTGTCAGCCTGCCCACCACCAGGGATGATGGTGCAGCAGGAAATCACTCTCGGCCGAATGCGCGCTCGGCTTCTCCTTTTCGTTGCCACTATCAACATCTATTCATCTTGAAATTTGAGGGGAAAGGCACAACTTAGAGATTGTCCCTGGGCACTCAAATGAGGAGAGCACAATTTAGAGATTGCCCTTGGGCACTCGTTACCCTAGCTATGTCCCTGTTACTGTCTGGCTTTTATAGAAAATTTTGCCAACCCCTGACCTAGATTGTGAGTCTAGAAGGGTTTTCCCCCCACAAACCAAGGCCTAGCCCAAGCTGGGCACATCTGTGCATGATAATTCTTGGTGATGGATTTTCTCCTGGTGAAAGAAGACCCCTAACCACATCTGGTTTCCATTCAGCTCCCCTGAACCAGGCATCAACTGGGAGCCAGGGGATGCTTGTAATGTCCTTGTTCCTTCTTAACTTGGACTGAGAGCAGCTCCAAACTCCACTCATCCTTTCTGGGCCCAGCCAGAGATACCCTACCTTGTCCACAAAGTTCCTGTCCCCTCTGTCCTCACAATTCAGGTCGCAATCCAGGGTGATGTCTGCAAGGGGAAGGCAGAGGTAGAGTTAGTACAGGGTTCCAGGAGCTCAGGGTGGATCTGTGGCCTCCACCTTTTAGCCTCCATCTTGGGGTCTGTCTGGGGCTGGGCAAGTGTAAGTCACTTCCAAGAAGACATTGTCCAGTGGTGGGGGCATCTGGAGCCTTCCTCCCCAGGCTGGAGAAAGAGGCCTTGGGGAAGGTGGAAGGGGCATGGAAGCGGAGTCAGAGCAAAGGCCCAGGCCAAACGCTGCCCTCTCCAGGAAGCCTTCCCTGATCCCTCCCTCCTCTGCATCCTTACACCCCTGCTGTCTGGGCACACCCTGCACTGAGCCCAAGTCACCCTGGACCATCTTGTCCTGTATAAAGCTGCCTTTCTACTTGGGATGCGGCAGTAAGCCTGGGCTTTGGCATCAGCAGACCTGGATGTGGATCCAGACTCTGCCTCCTACTGGCTGTGTGACCTCAGACAAGTCACCTAGTCTCTCTGAGCCTCAGCTTCATCAGCTACTCATGCTCCTGTAATGCCTACCTAGTCCCACCTTCTCAACGTTTCTCCCTAGAAATCAAAGGAGTTTTTATAACACAAATGGAACATTCAAGGGGTCAGAATCAATCTTCCTGTGCTTTAAAAAAAAAAAAGTGTTCTTCTTAGTTCTAAAGTAAAAATGGAAGGACAGAAGGAAGGGAAGGATGGTAGAAGGAAAGGGAAGAAAAAGGGAAGTATTTGGAATTACATTTAGAATTGAAATTATACTTAAACATGTGAAAAGATTCCCAACGGTCATACAGCAAATGAATGAATCTCACAAACCTAATGTGGGGCAAAACAAGCCCAGCACAAATATATATATGATACAATTCTATCCACAGAAAGTTCAAAGGCAGACAAAGCTAGACTATATTGTTTGGATATGCAAAATCAGGTAGTAAAGCCACAAAGAAAAGCAAGTAAATACTTATCACAAGATAATGGTTACCTCTAGGGGAAGAGGGGAGTCATGATGAGAGGGACATAGGGTGGGGGGACTTTGGGGTGCTGGTGAGTCCTATTTTTTGACCTAGGTGATGGCTACTCAAGTGTTTGCTTTATAATTATTCATTAATATATATGTATATACAACAAAGCTTTATGCACTTTTCTGTATGTGTATTTTCCAGTGAAAAAGTATGTGGGGTGAGGGTACCAATCTCACTCCTAACTAAATGAAGTCAAATTAAAGCAATAATGAAATGCCAACCCATCATATCAACAAAAAATGGAAAAGGTGAATACTGCACAGTGGTGGAGGGCACTTCCATATGCTGCTGGAAGGTGTATAAAGTGGTACAGTCTTTTTGGAGAGCAATTTGGCAATATCTATCAAAATTTAAAATGTACCTTCCCTATATCCTAGGTTCCAAAAATGTATCCTGAAGATAAAGCACCTTCAACTTTCTCAATAATTGCTCTCCAAGTGGTTGTACCAGTGTCAACGCCCACTACAATGTAAGGGCCACACCTGGTGTTACATCTTGGCTGCACTAACTTAGTTAAGCATCTTTTCATTTGGGTTTTGGTCATTGGGCTTCCTCTTCTTTGAGTTGTCTGTTCATATTTTTTACCCATTTCTAATAATTTGTCTTTTTTCTTATTGATTGAAGTTCTCGATATACTCTACATGCGCTGAATCAGCCATATACATGGCGAATCTCTTTTTCTAGTCCATAGTTTGAATTTTCACTTGTTCTTTGTTGTATGGAAGTTTTTAATTTTAAGATAGCCCAAGTTATTCATCTTTCCTCTCATGGCTTGTGCTTTTATATGTCTTGGTAAAGAAAACATTTACTACCTTGAGGTTACAAAGATAGCACAAAACTTTAAATTTTTTATTTTCACCTTAAGATTGTTAGCCCCACTGGAATTTTTTTTGAGTATAACATAGGGCCTTAAACTCATTTTTCCCCAGATGATAACTACACGAGCATGGGCCTATTTCTTATGGGTTCTCTCATTGCTTTATTGGTCTGTTTTTTAACCCTGCACCAATATCACACTGTCCTGGTTGGCATAGTGGTTAATCCACCAGCTGCTCCTTGGAAACCCTATGGGGCAGTTCTACTCTGTCCTATAAGGTCGCTATGAGTCAGAATTGACTCAACGGCAACGGGGTTTTTTTTTTAAGTACTGTAGCTTGTAGTCTTGTTATCTGGTACAACGAATCCCTCCACCTTGTTCTTCTTCAAAATTGCCTTGTCTATCCTTTGCTTTGCTCTTCCATAGTGTTTTAGGATCAGCTCCTTAAAGTTCTATTTAAAAAGCCATATTGGGATTTTGATGGGGATTTCATTGAGTTTAGACCATTTGACACTGTTCCACAGCTCTTGAATCTCTGTTCTATCAGGTTTTTTTTGGAGGGGGGAGGGCGGTTGTTTGTTCTTTTCACTCTCTTTTCCCTTGTCTTTCAGTTTGGGTAACTTCTACTGACCTATCTTCAAGTTCACCGATTCTTTCTTTGGCTGCATCAAGTCTTCTGACAAACCCAGAGAAGGCATCTTTCATCTCTGTTACCGTGACTTTTATGTCTAGCATTTCCATTTGACTCTTACAGTTTTCGGCTCTCTGATGAAATTCCCAATCTGTTCATGCATGTTTTCCACAAGGGCCTTTAAGATATTAATCGTAGTTACTTTACATTCCCAGTCTGATAGTTTCAAAATCTGAGTCATCTTACATGGAGTTTATTGATTTGTGAAGAATTGGCAGAAAAAAAAATTAAGTTGGAAAAAAAAGGCCTGGGTATATAGTATGATTCTACTTGCTTGCACAAAGTGTGGGGATACACAGGTATGTACGTGTATACTAGCATAAGTCCAGCACATCTCTAGAAGGAGGCTGGGTTTGGGGAACTGGAAGTCTTGGGTTGGAGGGAGAAGGGAGGAGGGAGGTTTATTTTTTGATGTATACTCTTTTGTACTGTTTGAATTAAAATGTGCACTTCTTACTTTAACCTAAAAAAATAAAACTAGTCGATTTTTATCAAAAGTGTCATTCCCAAACACCAACCTCCCCAGCCATTGGCCAAGGTCCTTCTGGCCACACCCTCAGCATGACCCCCAACTTACCAACACAAGTGAGGTAGAGCACTGCATACGCCAGGGGCAAGGACTCATGGCTGGAGTGGTAGGAAATCTGAACCTGCAGAGAGATGACGCCAGGTTCATGCAGCCCGAAGCCAAGAGCCCCCAACCCAAAAGACTGTGCACTAAGGTTTAGTTTACCAACCCAGCTCTCCCTTTAGCATTCCCTGTGCCATTTACCTTTCCATGCCTTGGTTGGCCCACCTGTGAAATGGGAATTATTTGTGAGGGATTCTATGGAGACCTGGACCCCAGCACTGCCAATTACCTGCTGTGTGACTTTGGTAAGCCCTGGCAGCTCGGTGGTTAAGAGCTACTGCTGGTAACCAAAAGGCTGACAGTTCGAATTCACCAGCTGCTCCTTGGAAACCCTATGGGGCAGTTCTACTCTGTCTTATAGGGTTGCTATTAGTCGGAATCAACTCAACGGCAACGGGTTTTTTTTTCTCTTTGTTCTCCTTTGGGTCTCAGTTTCCCCATTTGCAAAGGAGGAGTTAGGACTGGACTGGGTTTAGGGACCCTCTCCGTGCTGACGTTCTCATCAGTGGGACTCAGACAGGCTTGGGCTCAAGTCCAGACTTCTGGTTTCTGTGATATTGACCAAGGCCCTTCATTTCTCTGAGCTGCCTCGGTTTTCTTACCTGCAAAATGGGGACAATACAGCTCTTACTTCAGAAGATTGTAGTGCAGCTTAGAAACAATACATGGTAAGGACTAAGCCTGTAGGACATGGACAAGAATACCAGGCATTGTTACTGGTGGGCAGGTGGCAATGTGCAAAGGTGAGGTTCAGAGCTCTGGACTCACATGGCCTGGGCCCAGATTCTGGATCCACCACTTCTGAATGCCTTGGGAAAAATGACTCATCCTCTCTAGGCTTCAGTTTCCTAAACTGTAAAGTGAGGATAATAATAGTTCCTGCCTCATCGGACCTCCTTGACTGACACATGACATGCTTAGCACAGTGCCTGCCACACTGTGAGCACCATAACTGCCAAAGGACGAGGATGAAGGTGGAGATGATGCAGGCAGCTGCATCAAAGTCCCCTTTGACCGCAGCCCTCCCCTTGAGTGTTCCCTCCTGACATGGGTCCCTCCACTCTCTGGTTCTGACACCTCATCACAGCCAGGGGGGTTGGGATCTTGCAGAGGTCACTCACCCTTCTGTCCTGGGAGCTCCTAAATCCTGCAGTTACTGACTCCCAAGTGTCAGGCCCCAGCGATGATGCTCACCTCATACATGCAAAGAGGGGGCAGAGGTGGGGAGACTCTGACTCTCCTCAATCCCACCAGCCAGGGAACTCAGGGTGGAAAAGCACCCACACAGCCCCCAGTTAGGCAGAGTACCCAGAGGGTCGTCCATCACAGGCCGTTTGGTTCTCTTGCCCTCCCCTTGGGACTTAGTCCTGGCCCTCACCAACTCTGCCACTTACTAGATCGTGTGACTTCAGGTAAACCATGCCCAGTCTTGGTTTCAGTTTCCTTGTCTGTAAAGTCTGTAAAATGGGTTCGTTATGAGTCCTGCCCCATATGCCTCACAGAGCTGTGGAAAGGATCAGCTCAGAGGTGGGCACAGAGGTGTGAGGTGGTGGAGGGAGCCTGTCCCCAGGTGTCAGGCAGGTCTGCGTTGAATCCTAGCTTTCCTGCTCATTAGCTGCGGGCCCCCAGGAAAATTACTCTGAACTTTGGTTGCATCAGCTGTGAAACGGAGATCAGAACCCCTGCCTCTCCGGCTGTTGTGAGGGTTGGAGAATGTAATGGCTGCCCAGTGCCTGACACAGGGTCCCAACCCAAACCAAACCCATTGCTATTGAGTCAATTCTGACTCATGGTGACCCTATAGGTCAGAGTAGAACCACCCCATAGGGCTTCAAAATTGTAATCTTCACAGAAGCAGACTGCCACATCTTTCTCCCACAGAGTGGCTGGTGGATTCGAACCACTGTTAGCAGCAGAGTGCTTAACTGCTGCACCACCAGGGCTCCTCTGGTACATAGCCAATGCTGCTTAAAGGACTGGTTTCCCAAAATATCCATCCTGACACACCAAGTCCTGGTCCCCATCAGCCCTTCATGGGGACATCACCTGTGCGAAGCTCAAAGGCCACTCTCATTTCTCCCAACTCTTTAAATGTCCCCCTGTTCCGAGAAAAAGGTCAAGAATAGGGGAAGTGAGGCACTGTGGGGAATTGCCACCTATAAAGGGGGTCTTGCCAGGCAGCAGCCCCCCTCCCTACTCTGTCCCTGCTTTCTCTCCTTCATTCAGAATCGCAGAGACCACCCAGTCACCTCTCAGCCTACAGATGGGGACACAGATGTCCAACACAGCAGAAATGGGACAAATCCTCCCTTCACAAGGGTCGTGGGAAGCAAAAGATGGAGGAAACGCTGGCTCAATTCCACCCCCACATCAGCACTATTACTATCCCCATTTTACAGATGGGGAAACTGAGGCCCAGTGAAGCTATGTGACTTGCCCAAGGACATATGGCTTGTATCTGTAAGTTGCAGAGCTAGAGTTCAAACCCCAGCAGTGTGGCTTCAGCGCCAGGCGCTTACCCACTGCGCTACCCTGTGCTCCTGGTAAAGCAAGAGGTTAGGCCATCATGGAGCTAGATCACTGCCCCCTCTCCTCCCTCCACACCCAGATCAGGGGACCAGCTCACATGACTGTCGTTGAGGTCATTGCTGGGGGAGTTCATGACCACGATGATCTCCGTCCCCACATCAAAGTGCCACCGCCGGGTGTCAGCGCGTTCCCGGCCCCTGTCCATGGTGGGAGAGATATAGATGTCCACACCTGGAGTCCCGTAGACCTCGAACATCTCCGTGCCCTCAGGCACCGACCTGGGAAGAACAGGGAGCCATGGGTAGTGCTGAAGGGGCAGCCCCTGTTCAGATGCTTCAGCTTTGGCTGAAACCCTGCGTCCTCTAGGAAGCCTTCCCTTACCACCCCAGGCCCCACAGATCCTCCCAGTAAGCCCCTGGGAGTTGGGCCCTGACCCCACACAAATGATATAGTCTCACATTCTATGTTCATAAACATTTCTCTTGTGAGTTTCCTCACCTCCCAACAGAGCTGCAAGCTCTGTAGGGGTCAGGCCTGATATAAACCAAAACCCATTGCCGTCAAGTTGATCCCAACTCATAGTGACCCTATAGAACAGAGTAGAACTGCCCCATAGGGTTTCCAAGGAGTGGCTGGTGGATTCAAACTGCTGACCTTTTGGTTAGCAGCCTGAGCTCTTAACCACCGCACCACCAGGGCTCCCAGGATTAATATAATCCTAAAATTATATGAGGTCTTGGCCAGAGTAAGAGAAGCTACAGCAGGGTTCAGGCCTAGAATCCATTTTATGTGAGAGTTTGTTTAAGGTTATAGTTAATGCTAGAATCCATTTTGTGTGAGCGTTTGTTAAAAGTTGTCGTTAATCATTATGAAAAGTTCCAGGAAGAAATAAGAGTACAAGCTGAAACTCACTGTTCTGTCAGTGCCTGTACCTGGGGGAGGAATGTTCCATGAGAGGTACTTTATCTTAACCAACAAAGAGGCTATGCTACTTGGAATTTACGCTCTCACAAAGTAGAGTAATGCAATTTCCTTGTGACTGGTCTGAGAACCTGCAAGTCACTAAGCCAAGAACAAATGTTGCCAGGTCGTTTCCAAGGAAACCTCCCCATAGTAACTGAATGGTATCCAGCGGACAAAGACTCTTTAAACCAATCGTGTATTCCCATCTGTTATGTTTCCCGCCTTTGACAATGATGTACTCGTGAATAACCAATCAGAATGTACTTCTTTCTGTAACTGTGTATTAGAGACTCCCTGATTGTAATTCAGTGGATTCTGCTCATCTCTTGTGCCTGGTGTACACTGGCAGATCCCTCATTGCAATGATTGCCTTTTCTGTGGCTTGGATTAATAAAAATCTCTTTTGGTTAAATTTGAGTCTGGGGTCTTTTTCCCCTACGACAAGACCCAGCTGTCAGTTTTGTAAGAGCGTGGTGCAGAGCTGAAGGCAAGAGCTTGATGAACACCAGTCAACAGCCAGCAGGGGGACCCCCGTGCAGTTCTCAGACTAGCTTTAGGAAGAGCAGTTCTCATCCCAAGTCCCTTGCATCCCTGCTTAGCAGGTGGTAAGATTTCCTTGGAGTCTTCCCTAGGGAAGGGAATGAACTTTTGTTGAATGCTCGCTGTGTGCCAGACACCTTGCATTTGTTAGCTCCTTTTATCATTACAAGTCTGCAAGGTTAGCAGTATCATCCCCACTAGACAGGTGAGAAAACAGAGGCTCAGAGAGGTCAAGTAACAAGCTTGATGTCACACAGCAGTGAACAGCAGAGCCAGGTTTGCGCTCAGGTCTCTCTGACACTGAGCCAGTGCTTCCCCACAGCACTGCAATGTCACCTGGGAAACTTGGCCAGATTCAGTCAAACAACCAGGCGTTAACTGTAGGGTTGAAAAGTCCATGATGTCAGCTCTCCCATGGGACTGTGCTTCTCCCATTTCCTCTAGTCCACCATTCTGTCCATTCCCTGATTGTCTGTGGGGAGCCCACTCTGCACGTGAGCACTGCCGAGCTGAGACAGATACACCCGCCACTCTCCCCATTGTCCCAGAGCCTTCAATCCCACAAAGGGGCTGAGGACCGAGCACTGCCCAGGACAGCCAGACGGGGCTCAGGGCCACGGGGCTAGGGGTCAATAGGATCCCATATGAGGTGAAGCTACTGTGAGCTGGAGGGACCTGAAGGCTTCCTGGAGGAAGCAGCGCACATAGGCCCCGGGGGATAATAGTAGTCAATGCTGGTTAAGCGATTACTGTATGTCAGCCCTATTCGAGTTTCTCTGCATGTATTATTGAATCCTCTGAATAATCCTAGGCGGCTGTTGTTGTTGTTGTCAGTTGCTATTGAGTCAGCTCCAACTTATGGCAACCCCATGTATAACAGAACGAAACCTTGTCCAGCCCTATGCCATCCGCAGGATCATTGGTATTATACAGAGTTGTCATTGGCAAATTTTTGGAAGTAGATTACCAGACATTTCTTCCTAGTCTGTCTTAATCTGGAAGTTCCACTGAAACCTGTCCACCGGGGTGTCCCTGCTGATATGTGAAACACTGGTGGCATAGTTTCAGGTCCTATTAGTGTCCCCCATTTTACAGATGAGGAAACTAAGGTTAAATCATCTATCCAAGGTCACGTAGCTAATAAATGGTAGAGCTGGGATCCAAACCCAGGGCGTTTGGCTCCTGAGTTCACGCTCTTGCCCACCACCTCCCCAAGAGTAATAATAACAACAGTAATCAAAGCCCCCGAGGCTGCCATACACTGCCCTCTTACCACGTCAGGCCGAGCCAAGTCTTTCCGTACATCAGCTCATCTAATTCTCACTGCAGTACCAGAGGAGGGGATTATTACTCCACTTCCACATAGGGAAACTGAGGCTCAGGGTGGGCAAGTGCTCACCCAAAGTTTCACAGCTGGTCATTCCACTCAGCCCCTTTCCAATACCTGCATCCCTCAGAGGAAGGCAGACTTCCCCCAAACGCCCTCTTCACGCCTCCCCCAGCATGATTCTGGTGCTTCTCAAAGCAGCTTGTCAAAAGGAGACTAGCCCCAACCCCCAAGCTGCGCTCCATCAGGTGGGTCCCGCTGCAGTGTTTGCTGCCAGGTGTCCTCACCAAGGGAAAAGGGCTGACATGGCTGTTTCTCCTCCCAAGTAGGGTTGCCAGATTTAGCAAACAAAAATACAGATGTCCAGTTGGATTTGCATTTCAGATTAAAAAAACATAACTCTTTAAGTTTAACTATGTCCCATGCACTATTTGGGACATACTTATACTAAAAATGCATTTATTGTTTACCTGAAATGTGTATTTAACTGGGCATCCTGAGTTTTATCTGGCAGCCCTACTCTCGAAGCCTGGAATTTCTAGGTTGGTGGTGCCTCTGGCCTGTTCTACCCTGGGTGTGGGGCCAGGCCCATCAGGGACATGGATGAGCCAGGTAAGGAGGCATGGAGACCCAGAGACAGAGACATGGAGAGACCCAGAGAGATGGAGAGTCATGAGCAGGAAGTCAGAAAGACAGAGACAGGGAGAGACTGATCCATGTTAGAAGAGCACCCTCTCATGTCCCCGGAGTACCCTCAGCTCCTTCCTCGGCCCCACTCCCCAAGGCCCCACCTCCAGCTCCCCAGGGAAGCTTGTAAACTCTTTATGAACCACCCCCCACCCTGCCCCAAACCGTTCCTCAGGTGCCAGGCGACCAGGAGCCAGGGCTGAGAGCCCCGACGGTCTTTCTGGACTGAAAACCCCACCCAACACCCAGCCCCAGGGTTTAGGGTACTTCAGCTCAGCTTCCCAGCACCTCCCAGGGCCAGGCCCTGTGGGAGGTGCTGGGAAATCCTGACAAAGACAGAAGTGTCCCTGCCCAGGTGAGGCCCCAGGACAGTAGCCCAAACAAGAGTATCACACAGAGAAGGTGTACCAGCTACTACTCGCCTGAGGGGAAGGGAGGGACTGCACAAGCCAAGGGCTCAGGTGGTGCCTGAACCAGAGTCAGGAGCCAGGCTCCAGACCAGGCTGGGTCACACGTCACCCATGTGACCTTAAGAAATCGTGCAGCCTCCCTGGGCCTCAGTATCCTCATCTATAAAGTGGGGATAATGACACCCACTTGGCCAAGCTCACAGGCTCAAATATGATCATAGATAGAACAGGCTTGGAAAACCACCACCCAGGAAGGAGAAGGGGTTATTAAGTTAATTAGGGTTCAGGGAACCAGTGGGTAGAAGCAGGTTGAGAGAGTGGGTTGGGTGACTGGGGGAGGCTTCCGAAAGAAAGCAGGCGAACCATTCCTAGGACAAGGGGGAGACATGTTTGAGGGGAAGGAGTTTTCTCCTTGGAGCCTTAGAAGGTCAGGTTTAGACTCAGACTGTAATGAGTTCATTTTCATTTCACTTCTTACGTAATAAGAGGTCATCGATGGTTCTTGATCAGTTGGGGCAACACAATGGAGCAGTGGAATGTCTCTCTGGTGAGATGGTAAAGCCTGTGGACTCTGGGGCTGGACCGCCTGGGTTCAAATCCCAGCTCCACCACTCACTAGGTTTGTGACCTTGGCGGAGTGACTTAGCCTCCCTCAGCCTCAGTGTCCACATCTATAAAGTGGGGATGACTAGACTGACAGGAGAAGCAACAGGAAGAAGCACCTGAGCCCACGCCTTCATTTCACTGCTGGGGAAACTGAGGCCAAGAGGAGTAGGAACAGCCCAGATTCACATGTTAGGAGAAGAGTGGGGACTAAAGGCAGGACTCCTGACTCCCAGTCCAGTGCTCACACCCCTGTGATGGAAGCTGTGTGTTAGGAAGATCAAAGGGGTGGGTAGAGGGAAGAGCATCTGTGCCAGGTTCGGAAGGACCAGGATTTTCCTATTTCTGGACGAAGCAGCCAGAGCCTCATCTGGACAAAGTTCCTCCTCTGGCCAGAGCCACCTCGAGCTGCCAGCATGGCCATAATGGCTGATTCCCCACATCCTGGCTTCTAGGCTGCTTTGGACAGGGCTCCCCGCCCAACCCTGGGGGCAGCATGTGGCTTGGGGCCTCAGGCTGTCTCCAGCAGACGCTGTCTACCTACAGGACTGTCTAAAGCACTCCCTAGCATCCAATCCCTCACCCAACCTGAGGGCCCAGTCTACTCCCCTAGCCTAGGAGGTGGTAGGTGAGTGGTAGTACAACATGGTAGGGGGACCAGCTGTTCTGGTTTACCTGGGACTGTGGGGTTTTCTGGGATGTGGAGCTTTCAGTGCTAAATTCTACAGTCTCAGGCTAACTGGGACAA